GGTTATATTTTCGCTAAAACCGGTTTCAATATAAACAACTTTTTTCTCGTACATATATATCATATATATCTCGTATATAGGAACCAAACTTTGTTGGAATCGTTTTTGTGCGGTATAAACGATATTATGTTATAACGATATACTTATATATTGTCGGTATTCAGTATTGTCACGATACTGCGTTTTTGTGTGTTTTAAGTTATATGTACAGAAAAAATCCGAATTTTCTAAAATATCTTTATAAAAAACCCACATAACTCTAAATTTAGTATGTTCAGAAAAATAACGTCGTAAATTTTACACTTATCTGCAAATGGACACTAGTGTGTATATTTTAAAATGCATTTTTCTCGAAGCACAAAAAAAAAGCAGTTTCGTAACTCTTCCATAATACCGACGATATTATTTTATATGGATATTATTTAAAAATTTTTAGTTTTTTCCTAATTTTTTTTTAAAATAGCATTCTTGGATAAAATTAACACGTTCCCTGTTCGCTGAGCCACATATGGTTCAGGAAACGTGCGCTTGATAAGCACTGATACCGTCAGGGGGTATATGAAACTTCTAAAGCAAATTATTCGACTGAACGTAACGGAACTGTACAGTTTCTGCACTGGACGTGCTGGTACGATATAATAAAGTAAAGAAAAACGCCGGGACATACGAAAAAATATTTTTGTTTTACGCAGAAATCACAAATTATTATATTCCTGGACCACATGGAAATATGGACCATATGTGTTTCAGGTAGAAATACCCTACATCCGTTTTTTTTTTTTAAATTATTATTATTACTAAAGCTATCTTATGACTACAAAAAAAAAAAAACAAATTATTCCAAAAAACCCTATTGGATTTGTCGGTCAATTTTGGATTTTTATATTGGAACTGGGAACTTGTTAAACCATTTTAATAATAATGAGCTATTTACAGTTAGAATTTAGTTTTTGAATATTATGAATATTTGTTTTCAATTCGTAATTAATAATTATAAAATTTAAAATTAATTCACGTATAAAACTTAAAAAATAAGTTCTATGTTATTAGAAAATTTAATGCAATAAATCAAATAATTGTATTATGAAAATTAATTTTGCAATTTAAAACCATTTCAATTTTGAAAATCCAATTTCTGCATATCAAAACGAAAATAATAAATAAATAAATTTTTTGGAAAATTATAAACAAATAAATTTTTTTTTTATTAAAAATAAATTTAAATAATACAAAGATTGACCTTGACTTGTGTTCAATTTATGGCAGAATTAAAAAAATTATAAATTATCATAATTAATTTTTTATCATTTCAAAAATAAGTAGATATACATTTGGTTGCCTTGCTTAATAAAGCATATTTAAGTACACAAACACTATAAATATTATTAATAAAAGTTTATCTTGTTTATTTAGATTAGATAAGAATTTGAAGTGTTATATGATTATTTCATATTTGTATTAATATTAAATTATCAAAATAAATTTTTTTTTGGCAATAAATGAAGCTTTGCTGAAAATGAATTAAAAATATACACATGATGTATGAATATTTTAAGTTCCAAAATATATAAACATTGCATGTAACAGCAAATTTTACCAATTGAATAACTTATTATTAAATATTAATTTCTTAATCAAAAATTTTCAACTACAATTAATATGAATATAAGTTCAAGCTGAAGTTTAAGGCATTAACTCTTTCAATCCATCTCCAAACTATTACTTGCAATTAAAATTCTGCATTTATTTATATCTTAGAATCTAAAATAATATATTCTTTAATAGAATCTAAATTACTGCAGTTCATAATATAAAGAAGTTAAATTCAGTAAAATAATTTGGAAAATATCTTCAAATTATCTGTAAATTTAGAATTAAACTATTTTATGGCTTTTAATTCCAATAATTTAAAAACTGATTTTATTTATCAAAATATCCTAAAATTATAAAGTCTAATCATACAAATTTGTGTTGTGTACTTATACGGACTATAGATTGCAAAGTACAAGTTTGTGTACTTAAATGCAATCTATAGTCTGCAATCTATTTTACTGAGTAATTGAAATTGTATAGCATATACAAATTTGCAAATTACGAAAATTTAAACCAAAATTCGACTTATTCATTCGGATCATACATGGCAGGGTAGCAAAACTCTAATATTGTTGAATAAAACCAAAAATCTTGTTGATTAGTTTGTATTTCGGTAAGGAACTATAGTTTTTTCTTAATATTTTTCAAATAAATTTTTTTAAAATTTCAGATGCAATTACCTACAGATACCAGATCACAGCTATTTCGTATTATAATTTTAGCTCAACGCACAAATCTCTAATTTTAATTTTGTGTATTTTTTCTACATATGTATACATATGTACATATTTAGAAAATCTCATTAATTTTTAAAATTAACAATAAAAACATTTTCAGTTCAGACTGTTTTCACTTTTTGATTGTAAAAATAAGTAATAAATAAAATCTATATTAAAATTGAGGCACTCAACGTATTAGCGACCTATACTTGCAAAAATGATATTTTAAATAAATTGCAATTGAAATTTTAAATTTTTAATTTTTAAGAAAATTTTTAAAAGGTAAAAGTAAACTTATGTCAAAATAGAGTGAAACGTGAAGTATGTTAAACTAAGTATTTTGAAAAAAAATAGAACAATTCTTTAGGTCTTCGATTTTTGGCCTATTGAACATAATAACTCATTTTTACAAAAATATTGTATAGACCACTAATGCGTTGAGCGCGTTAATTGTAATAAATGAATCCTAATATATTTATAAAATTGTATAATTACATTAATTTATTTCAAGTTAAGAAAAGTGCTATTAAAATATTGTTACTTATTTTATGTACATAAATAATACAAAAATAATTAATTCATTGGGTTATTCCGCGTTTACGTTTTTCAAATACGCAAAACATCTAAGAAATTCATTAAGATGCCTAGTATCTGTACAACATGCCTACATATCTAATTTTTACATCACGTTTTCAATTGTTTTATCGTAATTTCTATAATATGTATCTATCATGAACTTTATGCCTTTAGCTTTTTTAATTTAAAGATGATTAATTAACTTTGTTTTTGAAAAAAAAATTGATTAGCTTTCGATTTGATTAGTCATTAAAAGAAAAAAAAAAATTCATTGCCAAATTTATAATTTTTCAATTTCTCAAAGTCAACAAAAAAACATTTTTTTATGGTTTGGTTTCTTTTATACCCAATTTTATTTTTATTTTCGTATTCGAGTGTAAAAGAAAAAATAAGTTAGCGTATTGTTTAAAAAAAATATTTTGACTCGAAAGATTTGAACAAAAAATGTCGTAAGTTGAAGACATGGGAAGATGATAATAATCTATACTTTACAAGAAAAATTAAATTAAAACCCCAATATTTTTCCTTAAAAAAATGTTAATTTTTATAATTATTTCCGTTTCAATTTCCCTTCTTAAAGTTATATTTTCGGATTTTATATCCAAAAATAGTATTCCAAAATTAAACAAATAAAGAAATCATTAATCCATCTATTTTATTTAATCAAATTTCTAAGTGAAACTATTACACCTATTCAATTTTATTCAAACAAACAAGTTATTAATTAATGGAAAATACTTAAACGCTAAGAATTAAATTAGATAATAATAGGAGTATGTCATAACTTATATACTATTATAATACATATAATAGTTATTTTAGCAAACCTACATTGTATAGGTGCATACATATAAAAATTATTAAAATTTTATAATAGGCAATTACACTTACGATTATTAAGTTTACGAAAATTGTAAATTAAATATCACAGCAACCATAGAATTTTGTATTCTTATACAAAAATTATACAAAATATTATAAAATATTATAAAAGAAATTTTAAATAAAAGCTATTATTGCTTTCTTATACCCAAATTCATATATGTGCATACATATACATATGTACATATAATTTGTATCTTTAGAAACTGCTGCGGGAATCAGTATCATATAGGAACATAGATATTTTGGACACAATAAATTCAAAAAAAAAATTTGTGTGAATCCCAATTGCAATAACCTACATATGTATGTATGTAATTTAAGGAGAAAAACCAATGAGCAACAATTTTTATGTATGTATGTATGTATAAGCATAAAAGAAATATCAATGAGCAATAATTACATAATAAGAAAACAAGCTAAATGAAGGATATGTGTATCTTATCAAGGATTAACACAGGATATTAAAATAAATTTTGGAAAGTATGCATAATAGGTAAGCCATTTAAAAACTTTTTATAAAATTTTATCTACATTTTATATTCGAATGTATATTGATAAGTATATAGCGATATCAAGAACGACGACCAACTTAATCTTTAAAAAAAGGCAATGAAAAAACTAATTGACAACTACACAATGTAATATATGTACATACATATAAAAATATTGTACGTTTAATAATAATTTTCTAAACTAATGTGATTTAATATTTAATGTAAATTGAAATGTTAAACACCTTAGAATATTGTCGTTATTCAAATATTGCTAAAATTCATTATTTCTTAGTGCCTTAAGAATAAGCTATTACCTAGATAAAATAATAATATTCGCTTTTTTCATAGGCATGTAAATAACCTATAATATTTGCTTTCTTTTATGATTTCTTGTTTTCTTTTATGGAAATCTCAATCATTTCTGCAAAAATGACTTACTAAGTTTTCATGAAGGAATAAGGAATGGTTCTAATGTAGAAGATTACCCGATATATAAAACTAGCGTTTCCATAGCGCTGTTAGACCTTTCTTATAAGTATATTTGTAATTCAAAAATAAGGGCAGGTAGGTTCCAATACTTATTATGAATATTATATTTTTTTATTCCATTATTTTATTGCATTTAGTTTTACGTCTCCCATTAAAATGGGGAACTAAAAAAACAATCTTATATAAACGAATAATGTTATATAAATTAATTCTAATGTTAGGTAGACAAATAATGTATATTTACCTTCATTAAAGCAAATTTTTGATCATCTTCTAAATCAGGAGTTTTCTTAAAAGTTGCCATCTTTTCTATATTCCAAATTATTCAAAAATTTAATTTTAAATTTGTATAAAACAAAAAATTATTTGTTACTTCAATTCAATTTATCCGTAAAACGCTAATTAAGAAAAAAATTTTAATTTAAATAAACTTTTCTTTCCGATTTTAATTAAATTTCAATTAACTTGTTAACACATAAATCTTTTATTTTCTATTAAACATTTAAAATTAACAAAAATATTTAAAAAAAAAAAATATATAAAAATAAACTGGTTTATTTATTTAAAAATAGGTAAGATGCCTAGTTATCTACAATATTTGTGTTTTCATTCAGTTTTTCTCCAAAGCAAATGTTGTTAATGGTGTAATTTTTTTTCTTAAATAAAAAAATCTTCACTTTCTTAATGGAATTATGGCAACGAAATCATCTGGCTTTAACGATCATTTCACTCTTTATAAAAATTAATTATGCCTGAAGAAGATTGCGTGTCGCACTTAATTTTTTTTTGCTGGTTTTTTTTTTTATTTCTCTCACTTTTATGTTATGGTCTTGCACTTCTTCAAATTTTCACAAAAATTTTTAAAACCATTAAAATTTCACATAAAAACTATTTTTAAATTTTAGATTTTTATTCTCTTGTTTTTTTGTGGTGTGGTGGTAAATGAACCTTAAATATAAAGAATAAGTAGGTAAGGTAGGTTTACCAATATTTTGTTGAAATATATATATATATATTTATGTATGTATGTAGTTTATTCTAAATATGCTTGTTCTCTTAAATAACTAAAGGTAATCTATACTATTACGGATTAGTTAATTATTCTTAAATTAAAAAAAAAATATTATAATTTTTGATAAAAAACGTTTTACATATAAAATATTCACGTATACGTCCACTCTGCTCTATAGATTCTTATAAACTGATGAATTTTAAATTAACTAACATAGAAATACAAAAATATAACGATCATGTAATAATCAAGCACAAGTAAAAAGTAAAAAAAAAAAATTTAGTGTCGATTTTGTTTTACTACTTTTATTTTATTTTATTTTTTTCTTTTATTACTATATTAGTATAGTTTTAAAGGTTATTTTAATAAATAGACGAACTTTTTAAGCTGTTCTACTCGTTCAAAGTCAGATAAAATATAAAAAAAAAAAATTTAAATATATAAAATCTCCGTCGATTTAATTTCTCTTTCAATACACTAAGTCCTCAAGATACGACATTTTTGGTTCCAGAAATTTATGTAGTAAATCGAATTGTAGTTTGGGGAGAAAAATAAAAATGTATTAAACAAAAAGTGAATTAGACAAACTATTTTATAATATAATTCATCTGTTTTTAAAAAAAAAAAAAAGTTAACAAACGTTAAAAAACAACAATATATAGTAACGAAACCAAAAAAATTAAATTTTGTAACAAAAGTAAATAGAATAAAATCTGATTAAGTTAAAGATTAAGTAAATCATTTAACCCGTGAACTTCAAGAATGCGCTTAATACGTAAACTTTACAAAGTATCACATCCCAAAAAGTTTAGTAAAAACTGTTGACATTGCACACTTTTCCTAAATGCGCTCTATACGTAGTGGATAAGTAAAATAAAAGTAAATTGGGTAACGAAAAAATTGAGCACGCTTTTCTTATACATGTCATATAAATATTTCCAGAAATAACTAACTAAATAAAGTAGAGCATATATTTTCAGCAATAAGTTTTTTCCCAAAATACTCGTACTATGTTTTTAATGAAGTGGTAACGTTTGTTAAAAATTAACATTAACACAGAGCTTTAAATTGAAATTTTCAAGCAAAAACCAAGTATATACGTATTAATATTTGTAAAAATTGTATTTCAAAATGTATCAAAAGCTATAGGTAGCAATTTTTTGTACAATGTAAAAGTATTGGAAGCTCTGAGACGGTAATACAATCGTATTAATACCGTACTTAAACTTTTTATAAAGCATTATTGAAGTCGCAGTACATATGTGCTTTACATTTGTCTCATAATTAAATTCGGTACAGATTTTTATTCAAAAATCAGCAAAATCTGTAAAAAAAAAAAAAACAAATTTTAAATTCCGAATCAGGAACAATATCGCAAGCTGAATAAAAATGGCTTAAATTTATATAATGTCATAACTTGAAATGTCGTATCTTTGAGACTTAGTGTACATGTATGAAATACTTTTACGTTTCAAATATATATATATATATGGGTAGTACCTACATAACAGTTTTATCCTCTCAGACGCATCATTTGAATTGTATGGTACAAATTATCAGGGCTATCATTTTGCAATTTGAAAAACTAACCGATTTGTAATATGATAAAATACTCTTACTATTTTACTCTTTTATCTTACTATTTTATAAAGGTTATTATTCTGATACTTCAAGAATAAATTCATTTATAAGATACACATTACAACTTTAATTAAAAGATACACAAACACAAATAAAACGATGCTTGAATCCAATTAACATTTACTTAATAGCTTTTAAATATATCATTACATCATTAATTAATATTGGTATTTATAACAGAATCTTTGAACGTGAAATTATAATAGAACCTTTATAATAGAACGTGAAATCCTTGCGAATAAGATTACATATTAATTTTTATATTTGCTTAATTTTTATATTTATTGCATTTTTGCATTTTTTCTCAAACTATCAACTGAACCTATTTACAGTCAAAAGGAAATTGAATAAAAATAATGATTAAATTTTAAATGAGGGTAAATGGTGTCATTATTCCTTCTTGTACGAATCTAAATATACTAAAAAGTTAAAAGAAAACATTACGTAAGTTTTTATGATCTGAGTCTAAACCAGGGATCTAAAAATCTGAACTTTTTATCGAATAGATAGTTGAGGCAGGTTGAGGTATACATAAATAAAAAGCTTCATTCAGAGCCCAAACTCTAACCCTGGATATTATTCAAAAATTTGCATGATTTCATTACAGAGTTTCGAATTTATAAAAAATTTAATAAAATAAAAATTAATATTATTTCTTATAGAACATTAATTTTTTTATTCATATTTTAACTTCATTAAAACAAAAAAAAACTTTTGCAATTCAAATAACATATAACATAATAATTGGTAAGAAAAAAAGTGAAATAACAAAAAAATATTAAGAAAATTATTAACTTATTCTATTATAATGAAAATTATTAAATTCGCATTAAATTCTTATTTTTTTGTGTTTTTGTTTTGCGAAAATAAATAATGTATTAATTTTTAAATTAGCGGTACTTTAATTTTTAGCAAGTAAAACATTAAGAAGATTGTATGCTTCTTTTTCAACAATAAATATGTTAACATTAAAGTTATTTCTTTTTGAATATTTTGATAAATATTGAAAAATTTTAATTAGAAATTTTTCGGCCGACTGTAAACTTTTATGATTTAAAAGAAAATCTGAGTAGATTGTTAAAAATTCATATTGTTCTTTCCTATCACGGCATGGTGGTAAAGTATCTATATTATTAATACATGCCATACATTGACATAAAAAATCATGTTCATTCCATAATTTATATTTTCGTTCTAAAGTTGTTTCAAAAATTATTTCTGGGCTATTAAAGAAAAAAAAAAACACTATTAAAATTATATAAAGAAATTTAAATATAAATAATACAATTTATAAAGTTTTTTAAAATTAATAAATATTTAAGGTAGGAGATTTTACAGCCTGATCGTGTATCTCGCTTTTCTACTCACTTTTTATTCACTGTCAAATCTGAATTATAAGTATTTTGTAATGGATGTTTTATTTTTTCCAATATAATTACTAATTTTTTTAATCGGATTTTTGCATAACAACAAATGAAAAACTTTTGTATACAATTAAAAACAAAAATTTGATACGCAATTGGAATAATTCTTTTCTCTCGAAAATTATATTATACAAGTATATGACAGTTACTCACTTTCTTCTCTCTTTCCTAGTAAAATAGCAAGATAGACGATCAGGCCTAAGTAACTACATAAATATAACTACATAGTTGAATTACTGTTATATTTTGTATAGAATATGTATATGTATGTAGGTATAGGTTTGTTATTTAGTTATACAAGTACAAAATGCTACTAAGAAGTACTGTGACTTCAAAATTACAAAATCAGAAATACTGTATCATAAATACAGTAATTTAACAATATTAAAACTTATAAGTTGAATTTATTATGTATTAATACAATATTAATGAAATTTTGCAATAAGTATAATCATGTTATACAGATATACATATCTACATGCATATACATTATTAATACATATTATTAAATGAAAAAGAAATAATATTACCCATAAGTTATATTTAGTTGTTCATCCTTTTCAATATTTTTAAATGCAAAAAAATATGCTATTTTGTCCTTCCATATAATTTTGCAATTGGGTGCACATGAATGATTCATCCGACTTCCAAAATTTAATAATGCAACAACTCCATTTGCTGAAAATGCGTTGGCTTCCATTATTCCAAAATATTTCAAAAGCAATTCATATAACATATTGTCAAATTCATTATTTTTAATTGCTATCTTTTTTGTGAAACAAGTTTTTTCAATTAAAAAATGCTTCAAAATTACAATAACCAAATAAAATGCATTATATTTTGGTTTTGTAATATCTATTTCCTGTAAATCAGCTATTCCAAGGCAACCATTTCTTTTAATTAAAATATTTTCAAGATATTCTTCATTATTTTTCTTTGAGACTTTTTTTTCTTTAATATTATCTTGATAACATTTTGCAATATCAAAATTATATTCTTTCAAAAATTTCATTAGCATTTTAAATGGCATGGTAAATTTTTCTCGAAAAAAATTTACGAGTATATGAATTATTGAACATTCAATTTTATGAAAATTTTCATCTTCTTTCATGCATTCTTCACTACAATACATTGTTAAAGTACAATTAGTACATGGAAATAGGCAATATGGTTTTTTCTTAAAACAATTATGGCATCGTAAATACGATTGCGTTTTAGTATCGCATAAGTGCCCTACAAACAAATCCTCAATCAAAATTAAATCACCTGGATGTAGAGGTATCTTTGTAAAAATTCCTCTACCGGTATTAGGTGTATCACGAACTTCCAGACCATCAATAACATAATCAACTTTTGGATTTGGAGAATAAGATAATTTGTTGAATTTTGATTGAAAAATAGTTTTTCGGTTGTTTTTGCGAATTTTTATGGCCTCCAAACATCTTTTTTCTCTTGTGATGAGTATACCTAAAGTCTTTGGTGGTAATTCTATATTTATAGATTTTACATTTTCAATATCTTTTAAACACATATCATAATTTTTTAATTGCATCAAAATAGCTGATCTATTTAAATATCCTTGCGCAATATTTATTGAGTTAGTTTTGGCATAGCATATGCTTTTGTTGTAAAATTCGATTGCCTTTTTAAAATCATGTTGTTTATAATATTCATTTCCAATTTTTCTAAAGTTTTCAGATGCTACTTCATCTTTTCTATAATTAGGACCACCCCAATTTGCTACATCCTCAAAAAAATTTTCCTCTAAGCACAATTCCTCCAAAACTTTCAGGTCAAGATTGTTAAAAAAAATTGTGTCAATGAATGTTTCAAACATCCCGTTAAAAAATTATTAACCAATTATGTATATGTTAGTGATTTTGAAATTTTTTTCTTTACTTTCGTATATTTTAATAATTTTATAATTTCAGTTTAATTAATTTAACAACACGCGGTCGAAGTGTAAGGTCCAACCACTTAAATGAGAATTTTAGTAAACTAACAGTTTTGGTTTTAAAAGGGAAGTTACCAATTTCAGTACATATTGCATTCAATAAATGGTGAATACCAGTGTTGCCGTCACAAAAAGTATTATTAAGATTATAAGCCTAATTGCCATAACATATTGTTTGAGAAAAATAAGAATTCATGTCAGAATGAAATGAAAATTCAATGAATATATAATTTTTCCAATGAGATAGATATCAATTTCTTTAATTGGATCTTTGCACTTTTTTTCAAACTATCAAAGTGAAATATCATTTATTCATTTTGTTTGTTTTTCTCTAAACAAAAAAGGATTAATAAGACTTGCATAAATTTTAGAAAAAATTAAATACGCGATACGAAAACATTCTTCTCACACGAAATTTTATTTTCTTTTTACTCATCAAGTAAAATACCGAGATAGACAATCACATCTGAAAATTTTTTTATATTCATATAAAATATAAACTGGTAGAAATATGATTATGAAAAGATCAAAAATTTTGAATTCATAATGCGTCTGTCTGGTATAGAAGGCGTTTTTAAATTTTATAAAACTTGAAAAAAGTTTATAAAGTTTAAGTATGCAAAGCCATTGGTATAATACTTTGTGAGAAAAACCAAGAGAAAATTGTTAGATTAGCATTTTCTCAATTTTTGAAATTTTTTCAGCAGGATTTTTGAAGTAAAATCTTTACTTAAATCTTTAAAAACTTTTAAGGTGATAAAGCTGTCAAAACATGCATGTGTACTTCTTGAATATGTCAAAAAGTTCTATTTTTCAAAAAACTTTTTTTTTAACAGACAATAAGTTTTTTCGCTGGATAAAATTTCAACAATTGAATTCAAAATTTATTTTTTCGCCCGACATGTTTGTTTTTGCTGCAATGTAAATAATTGATGCAATTTATCAAATGACAAAAAAGGAAGAATTTTCGATAATTCTACGTATGCGCTTAAAGTTCTAACTTAAGTTTTAAGAATCTTTTGCTTCATTAACTAACTAGTTTAAATTTTAAGATTTTTAATATTTAACATTCTTTTACGTGATTTTTCTCAAATTTAAAATAATTTTTATAGTTTGAGTATGGCTCCGACCAAAGGTTAATGCCTTCTAATGAAGGTGAAGGCTCAAAAAATTGTTTATGGGCATATGTATGTATATCATTGAACTACAATCTCAGACAATACTCAGTGAGAAGAGGGAATTATTTGGGAATGGGGTGCTTAAGGGAAATGGTTGTTAAATGATGGTTATTTTTAATAAAATTTATTCTTGATTTTTGTTCTATACAAATATTCGTCCATATATGTATGTACTTTTATTTTTGTTTTTAACATGCATAGTTTCTTATATTAACATACTATTCTAAATGTTTGAAAAATTTAAGCACACTTTGTAAAATTTTTATGAAAAGTTTCATTTTAATTCAAACAAAACTTTTTCGAACATTTCTTTCTACAATCATTGGTAAGCTTTCATCTGCACTCAAAGAAATTAAACAATTATACACTTCATTTTCCGTTATAAATACATACATATTTAAATTGTTCTTTCTTGAATATTTACGCAAATGCTGAAAACATTTGAAAAGTAGTTCCTTGGTCATTTTTGGATTTTTTGTTTTGTTATTTGTGTAAAAATTGGAATAAATTTTCATGAAATCAATTTTTTCCTGTTCATTTCGACATGCTGGGAGGCTATTAATATGTTGAACGCATGATTCGCAATTGCATATAAAATCATGACCCGACAGTAAACTATGTCTTCGCTGTAAAGTTGGCGTATCAAATACCTCGGGGCTAAAAAACCAAAAAAAAGAAACAAAAAATATATTGTATGTATTTAGGTTATATCTAAAATATTAAACTTTGTATGTATTATTTTTGATTGACAATATAATTTTAATTGAGTTTAATACTCTCAATCAATGGTATCGACTTATGTAAGTCTATTTTGAAAGTTTACTAGAACTAAATTACTTTAATTCAGGTAAGTAGGTGGCCCTACCTAATCTTGGAATTGAACCTTTTCAGATTACCAGCCAATCTGAAAAGGTTCAATTCCAAGTATACCTAATTAGATACACATGCATACACATATATATGTACTATTTTTTAGAAATCTTACCCATAAGTTATATTTATTTGCTCATCTTTTTTTATATTTTTAATTACAAAACAATATTCTTTTCTGTCTTTGTATAGTAATAAGCAATTAGGTGCACAGGAATGATTAATGCGGCTACCAAAATTCAATAATATTTCAATGCTCTTATCAAAACGGAAAGCATTGGTTTTTATTTGTAGTACGCACTTTAGAAGTAGCTCATATATCATTTTATCAAAAAGTTTATTATTACTAATATTTTCTTTTAAAGTTTCTTCTATTAAAACATATCCCAAAATTACAACAGCCATAAAAAACTTGTAATATTTTGCCTTTGTTATATCTGCTTGTTGTAAATCACTTACTCCCAGACAACCATTTCTTTTAATTATAATATTTTCTAGATAATCTTCACTGTTTTGTTTAAAAGTGTTAGTTTCTTTTACTATATTTTCTCTATAACATTTTTTGATATTAAAATTATATTCATTTAAAATTTTCATTAACATTTTGATTGGCAATGTAAATTCATCTTGAAAAAAATTTACGAGTATATGAATTATTGAACATTCAATTTTATGAAAATTTTCATCTTCTTTCATGCATTCTTCACTACAATACATTGTTAAAGTACAATTAGTACATGGAAATAGGCAATATGGTTTTTTCTTAAAACAATTATGGCATCGTAAATACGATTGCGTTTTAGTATCGCATAAGTGCCCTACAAACAAATCCTCAATCAAAATTAAATCACCTGGATGTAGAGGTATCTTTGTAAAAATTCCTCTACCGGTATTAGGTGTATCACGAACTTCCAGTCCATCAATAATACAATCAACTTTTGGATTTGGAGGATAAGATAATTTGAAATTAAACAGAAAATCATGTTTTTTGTTAGTTTTACTGCTATTTATGATTTCCAAACATTTTTTTTCTCTTGTAATAAGAATTTCTAAAATCTTTGGAGGCAATTCTACTTTTATAAATTTTGCTTTTTCAATATCTTTTAAACATTTATCATAATCTTTAATTTGCATCAAAATTGCTGATCTATTTAAATATCCTTGTGCAAGATTTTTTGAATTTGCTTTAGCATAGCATATACTTTTGTTGTATAATTCAATTGCATTTTTGAAATCTTGCTGTTGATAATATTGATTCCCTTTTAGTCTGAGTTTTTCCGACACTTCATTATCTTTCCGATTTCCAATTACCGATCTAGTTATATCTTCTAAAATATTGTTGTCAGCACAAATTTTGCCAAAAAAGGCTATTTTTTCATTTTTTGTTAAATCTGTTAACATGTGCATATAATTTTCCAATTTAATTGCATTTATAAGTAATTCGAAGTTAACCATTGTTAGCAATTTGATATAGATAAAATTGGTTTTCCAAAAAATTTTTTTAAATACTTATAGACATAAAAAATTCCACTACAATGTTTTTGAAAATTATTTTTCGAGTTTTTCTACTTTAACCGAATATCAGTCGTTTACGCCCGTTTTCCCAGTTTATTAAGTAAATTTGTGAAAACTGAACACAAAAAATTCAAATTAATTGCAAGGGAAATAACCAACTTCGGAAATCTAATTTAATAGCATAGTAGCAGTATTACCAGCTAATCGCAGTATGTTTGCAAAAACGCTGTGTAACAAAAATATAGGTCAAGAAAATTTTTGGTCATTCTAACAAAAATATAGGTCGAGAATATTATTTCACGAACTGTTATTCTAACTTTATGTTCGTGGAAAACAAAACAAGTCTTGCCGATTTTTGTTTGACAAAGTATAGAAAACCTTTTTTAAAATCAAATATCTGTAATAATATCGATTTTTTTAGATTTATTTTTAGAATTCTACAAAAGGTGGATGAAAATGGGATACCTCTATTTTAATTCTTTTTCTTTTTAAGAAAACCGCGAACATATTTTGTTTTTTTTTCTTTAAAATACCAATAAGATACAGACATATTCTTTCGCATTTTACATGTCATTAAAATAGTATAGTATCCCAACATATTGCAACACTAAATATCTTATCTAAAAGTGGTTAATTCTACAAATCTCGACAAAACAAAAAATTATTTTCGCTATTTTGAGAGCTGATAACTAATTTTATAAATAATTGTAGTGGTTTTTAACAAACTATAAGAACTGCGTTTAGTCTAATTTTGTTTTAGTCAAGCTGCCTAGGTTACAAACTCAATATTCAAATATTAATTTAAATGTATAAAATTACAAAAAATGTTGATTAAAAATAAATTTGATTATTTTTGGTCCGCAGTCTTATCTTTACGTAAAAAGAAATTTGAAACAATTTTTATGATAAAAAAAATTATGCCAAATGTAATTTTCGCTTATGTTATAAAATATAAATAAAGAGCTTGTTTTGATAAATTTGCTTTTTAAATAAAAGAAAAATAATAATCGACAAAATTTCAAAAATGTATTGAATGCATCGAAACACTTAATCGATTATCGATAAACTGGTTATGTATCACTTGAAGCGTTTCTTTAAACCTTCATCTGGAACTGGGATTAGATTTTAAATGAAAAATTATTTTATATATTATTATGAAAGTAAGTAGAAACCAAAGCAGAATGTTGTAGATAAGTATGTCCTTAAATAGAAGGCTATACTTGAAAAATAGTAGTATAGTTGATGGAGTAATTACGCACATTTATTTCAATAGATTTCTCAAAATGCTTAGTTAAAATTCTAAACATAATTCTTTTAATTTAGGAAGATTACTTTTAACTTCTGGATAAAAAGGTTTTTATATAAAGCTTTATTTCGTTTATAAACTGCTCTCAATAACTCCTAATTATTTTAAAGTCTGAATTATTTTAAAGTATGTATCATAATTTTTGTTAAAAAAACATAAGCTTCAAAGTTATGGCTAAGATATTTATTTTAAATATTATGTACATACTCGTATGTAGGTTAATATGAAAATAAAATTTAAATTACCATAAAACTTTTTCGATATCTTTTCTTAAAAATATAGTAACCAGTATAAAAGAAAAATATATGAATATTGAAATATCGATATTTTAGTATCGAAAATTTAGATATTAGCGCCTGTCATGTTTGAGTATATGTATTTATATGTATGAGCATACTTCTATTGTTCATTAAGCAGTAGGGACATGATGATCTTATCTTTTCTACAATTCGAAGTTTAGTTTTGGGCTAATATGTAAATACATACGAATCACATACATATAAGGTATGTTTAATATAAGAAAGTTTTTTAAAATTTTTAAAAACTATAAAGTTTTTGCGTAATTATGTTTGTGTGTAAATGCATATGTATACTTTTTTCCGTTGTCAAAACTGAAAAAAAAATTTCGTTTACTTTTTGAAAAACAATTCATTATTTTTTATTATATAAATTGTATTAAATATTTTTTAACAAAAAGTAGTATAATAACATTCCTCATTTAAAAAATATTTTTTTTTTATATAATACTATATATTATATTGTGTGTTATATTATGTACATGTAACAATCTAAAATAAGATGAAAAATGAACCAAAAAAAAAAATAATATTTTCTTAAAAATATCAGCAAATCTCAGCTCAATTTAAGCTCTTGTTCGTCAATTCTGCATTCTAATCGTTCTAATCGCATTTTGTATTCTTCATTTTCTATACGTGTTAGTTCAAGTTCTTTTTTTAAAGCATCATGACTTCTTTTCAATTCTTGCAATTGGCGGCATATTTCTGGTATGTCTAATAATTGAACAACATTACTTCTAAATGTTTGTTGATTTAAATTTACATGCAATGGAGAGTTGTTTGAAGATGAAGGAACCATACCTTCATTATTTGCCATAAAATTTGAAGATAAATTATTAGAACTAACTGGATCTGATATTTGCTTAATATTGCTATTACTATCATTAGATGTGTCATATATTTCTTGATCGCTATCATTTTCAGTACATATTTCAATTATACTAGATAAATCATCTTCTTTTTCTTCTAATCTGCTTCTAATTTGTGTATTAATTGCTGTTTTACTTGCCTAAAAAATAAAATTTGTTTTATGTGTTTTTTATGGTTTTTAAAATACTTACACTAACTATATTTGAACTATTCAAAGGTACTGGTGAATCGTATTTTATTTTTTTTTTGATTATTTCATTTGAGTTGGCAACCTTTGTTAATTTTGTGAAATGCATCCCTGGTTTAATACTGTAAAAATATAAGTTAATTATTTTAATTGCACTAATTAATATTTTCATTGGATCACCTTTTCGTTAACCCATACATTTTTTTAAATGCATCCATTGAAAGTATTTTAACATTCTGTAAAAACAATCGGAAATACATTTTACATTTCAAATCTTAAATTGTTTTATAATAGGTATTTATATATCAATAATAAAATAATTAAATCGTTTATATTTATATATTAAAAATGTATAAATAGTGAAATTTTTATATAAATTTTGATATATAATAATTCTTATATAAGATAAGATAATAATTCTTATATAAGAAGACTTCCTTCTGGTAATTATTTTGGTAAGTTGTTTTCATTTTTAAAGATCACACTTATATTTAAACATTATAAAACAGTGTTATACAATTGATTGTGTTAAAAATAAAGGCATACAACTATGCATTAATTTAGTAGCTCAGAAAACTTAACATTAGATATTTGTGATCTCAAAATATGTTTTTAAAAATGAAAAAACAAAATATATATTCCGGTTTCCAAAATATATATTCACTAGAAGGACTTCAATTCAATTAAATTAAAAAAACAAAATGAAATTCAATAAGATATTAATTCAAATATGTTTAACCATACTTTTGATGGTGTTTTAAGTGATACAGGTTTAGCTTTTAAAGCCAACTGCTTTTTATGATGTTCATTCTGAACAAATGTTCTTCTAGAATTTTCAAAAGAAGTATTTTGTTCTTGCTTATTTTTGAGATTATTTAATGCAAGTTTTCCTCCTTCGGTTAAAACTAATTGTCTTCCATTTTGCAAAGCGGATGTTAATATTGTATCATCGGAATCATCAGCAGCCATCATTGATTTCAATTTCTTTATCATGTCAAAAGTTGATAAATTGGCAGGGTAATCTGCAAAATTTATTACAATAATAGTTTTAGTTTAATTCACTTTATTAAAACTAAGTTTAATAAAAATCGTGCCTTCTGTTATATCTCCATTTTCTTCCGAAGGTATTTCATCTTTTACCTTTATGTCACCATCATTATCAACATCAAAAACATCTTCTTCATTATTTTCTAACATTATAGAATGCACAGCTGCATTGGTTTCGGTCTGTATTAAAAAAAAATATTATATTTTAATTTGAAAAATAAAATACATTTGATTACTTCATTTTGATCTGTTATCTGTGGTTTATTTCTCATAAGATCTCGTGCAATCTGTAATTCTTTCAATAATTCTGTTTGTCCGGTTTGAATCGCTATAGATAAGGGTGTTCTTTCAAATTTACAAATAGCGTCCACATCAGCGCCGTATTTTAAAAGTAACTTTACTACTTCTGCGTGTCCATGCTCAACTGCCCAGTGTAGCGGTGTCATTCTCAGCTGGAAACCATATATTCAATGTAGTTTTCTATAATCAAATGTATGTGCTTAGGTTAGATATAATTACCATATCTCTAGCATTAACATCACAATCAACTTTTAGTAAGACTTCTATTATTTCTGCATGTCCATGAAGGGCAGCTATGTGCATAGCTGTACGATCAACTTTGGTTCGCGTGTCTTTATTATGACCGCTTTTAAGTAAAAGTTCAAGAACTTCGCGGTGGTTACACATTGCAGCAAAGTGAAGAGCAGACATTCCAAGCTATAATAAAAATCAAATATTAAAGCGATTTTAAATCAATATAATAATTTTATAAATACCCAATCGCTTATAAATGGGGCACCTTCCTGTATTAATTTAAATATTTTCTCAGCATTCCCTTCTCTAGAATAGTTTAATAACATTTTCCCAAGCTCATTAACTGGAAGGGAATTAGTTGTTGACGATGAAGATGAAGAGCCATCACCATCAATCTAGAAATTGTATTTAGCAATGTATAAAGAATTTTATTAGTTTAAAGAAAATTTTCCTTTCTACCTTTGATTTATTTAAGTTATTCATTACAGCTGACAGTTTATTATTCTTAGATAGAACAAATTTTATTTGGTTCTCAGTTAAAATTGTTTTAGCTTCTATATTCATAGGATTCCTAATTATCTTTTTATCTATATCCATTATTTTGTCTTCATCTGTTTAAACTTAAAAATAGTGGATAAAAAGTTTTTATTTTTTGACATTTCATATAACGTTTGAACCGGAAATTATATTGCAAAAAAAATATTTACATTGTATTTTTGGAGACAACTTAATAGAAATGTAAATAATTTAAATTTTAAAAAAAAATTGAAATTCAAATAAACAGAAGGATAAGGATATATCAACCATATTATTTAAAAATTACTTGTAGTGCCTTTCCAGTTCCGGACAAATCAAATAGATTAGCTCATCCGCTTTTTAATTTAGCGGAAATTAACGGAAAATTTGTTTTAATTAATAGTAAGTTAAATTTGTAATAAAACTTGTAAATGAAAAAATATACTTATATATTTAAAACTTCAAATTGATCTTTTAATTGTTTTGTTTGGTAAATAAATAAATATTACACCAAAATAATTAAAATTTTCACTTTTTGCTGTCATTAAAACTGACATTTATATGAAGAACGCGCGTACTTTCCAAAGATAATTACAAGAATCCCTCTCGCGGCAAGTATGAATAAAATATAAAGCTTAAAGACTACGTAAAAGATTTAATTTTTGTATATTTAAATCTTTAGATGACAAAAATACAGACGAAACTTGTAAGTGGTAATGCTTACCACATGATTAAATAAATTGTTAAATAATTAACTAAAGATAAATTAGCAATGATTGAGTTAGTTTGATTGCATTTTAATAAATTGTATTACTACGCAAAATATAAGTTAAAATCAACAGTGGTTTTCGAGTTAAAATTTTATATTTTGATATGGGATTTGGATACACATATATATAATTTTTTTCAATACTGTCATTTTTGACAGTAGGTATGTTATTTCAACATAAATATGTCACAATGACATAAGTATGTTATTTCAATTATAAATTTATTGTTTTAAAATAATTGCTATGTATTTATTGACATTTTTTTACCAAATAAGTAGCATGTAGGGGCAAGTGGTGTAATTGTGCGCAGCAGTATATCTTCACTAATAAAACTTTTTATATTCCAACTTATGTACAAAAACAAAATTAGCAAATATGTCTGTCAAAAGAGGTAAACGAAAAAACTACTCCATGTATCCTTTTTATTAAAAAATATTTTTTTTCTTTTTGTCTTATAATTTTTCTCTCTCAGAGTGTACAGTATTTGTATTTCTAATTGGTCATACTTGGTTTTTTTTTTCATTAACTGTTCCTTGAATCTTAAATTTGTGTTTTTGTTTCAAGTGAAAATCAATTATTTTAAAAATTTATTGAATATTTTTGAGGCAAGTAAAAAAAAAATGTAATATGCATAATTACCTCAGAAAAGTAAATGTGCGGTGCGCATAATTGCCCTAATTTATATTAAAAGTACTGCCAAATAAATTAAATGCATTGTACAGAGTGCATTGAAATGTTTTGGGAATTTGTTCGCAAATAAAAATCGATATGAAAAATATCGAGCTAGTATTCTTTATTAACGTTTAAATTTTGTATTTGTTTTCAAAGTTACAATTGTAAATTTTTTGTATTTATTCCCTCATTCGGTTATGAAACACATATTTTCTCCCAAAAAATTCATTCAATTTTCTATAGGTATAAATATTTTTTGTACCCAGAACAACTCCAGAACAAAGTTAATACATTTATTTGCCAAATTAGTTAAAACACAAAAATTACCCTGTAAACGTCAAATTCGTTGTGATCTCGCTTTTGTTTTAATGTTTTGATTATATTTTTGACACAATAGAAATTTCTTCACGTGTGTAGCCTTTTCTCATCTAATTTAGTATAGAAGAACTTTAAAAGAATTCTAAAGTCAAAATGGGAAAATTCAGAACAAAACTTAAGCGTCACGAAAAAGGAAAAACATGGAAAAAAGGGCACTCATCAACATCTAACCCTGAGAATATGAAATATCGCTCTAGAGCTAAATCAAGATTTTTCCAAGCAAATTTGAATGCTGGCAATGAAGTTAACAAACCCCAAGGACTTACTGTGGAAGCCCTTATGAAACATGAAGCAAAATTACAATATGCAACTGGATTGCAAGATCCAACTGTTAACGAAATTTGTGGCAGTATAAAGTCTCTTAGCTTTGATGGAAGCATGCAATCCGAATCTGAATTGGGAACATTTAAAACTTTTCAGACTTTTGCGTCCAGCTACAGCTCGTGCTCAAATATGAGTTTCAAAAAATTGTTGAACGGTTTTAGATCCAATTCTCAAAGTCACAAAGAAATGCTAGCAATTTTAACGGCACTTACTGAAATAATTAAAGAACGTGGTGGTAAAGAAACGTCAACGGAATATTTTATTTTACTAATGGAAACAATAGAAGCAAGTACAGGTGATTCTGAAACTATTGCAGGAATTTCACTTCTTGCAATGGGAATTAAATCTGTTCCTTTGCCAGTGCTAAGAAAAAAATTTTCTGAAACTGCGAAAACTTTATTAGATTTATTGGAGCACTTTATGAATGGCAACAACCCCGCAGTTATTAGGCAGATAATAGGATGTCTTTCAGTTTTGCTACGGGCACAAGATTTTTCGACTTGGAGCTATTCTTCAACAATGAGGTACCTGGATGCGATTCTTTCTTTTACAATTTATTCGAAACCAAAAATTCGTAAAGCTGCTCAACATGCAGTGGTTTCTATTATTCACGGGAGCTCATTTATGATTCAACCTACCACAGATCAAAATAGTACTAATGATTCACATGCAAAGATTTTTCATCCAGGTGGAGGTCGTGTTGCCAAGTTTTGCTTAAATCAGTTCAAACCAGAAGTGTTAGCTACTTCTGAAACAATCGTTCTTCATTGCTTACAATTACTAAAAGATACGATTAGTGGGCTTAAAACAGAAGATGCTAGAGAAATTTGTGAAAGTGTGTTATCAATTATGACAACACCAAACGTTTTATTACGGACTAGCTGCTTCCAAGTTTTACACTCATTATTTTCATCACGGCAAACAAATCTAACAGGGGTTCTCTGTGGCAAGTTAATAACTGCAATTTTTGATTACAGACCTGATAAAAATGATATAAGGCAAACTCTTGCTTGGTTAACAGTGCTTAAACAAGGCCACATTCACATGATGAACTTAGATAAAAATATTGGTTTAAGTTCTTTGACAAAACTAGTGGATATCTGTTCTTCAGATTTATGGATGTCAGACAGGCAGGAAATTGTTGCTGGTGCGTCAAATTGCTTGAAAGAAGTGCTGTATGAATGCGTTAAACCAATATGTTCATCTACAAAATTTGCAGACATAAATCGACATAGAATTACGGAAATTATTAACTTATTAGGACGGGCATTATCTTCACCATTTGGAGATGTTGCAAAATATGTTATTTTAACATTCTCTATTTTATTTGAAGTTGTAGGTGAAAATTTTACAGTAGAATTACTGCCATATGTTCAAGCTTTAGGTAAACGTTATGACTCTCATAATTCATTAAGTGTACACATTGAACATTCAATTATTTCGGCTATTAAGGCTCTTGGGCCTGAAAATGTCCTTGAAGCAATTCCATTAACGAATGCTAAAGGCGAAGTTGTTTTGGAAAAATCTTGGTTACTACCACTTTTGCGTGAAGGCATAAATAATGCATCATTAAAATTTTTTGCAACATATATTCTTGAAAAGGCTTTTGATTGCAATAAAAAATGGAAGAAATTCGCAGAAGAAGGTCAAAAATCGCCTGCACATATACATGAATTACTGTGTTGTCAATTATGGGGACTTTTACCTGGATTTTGCCGAAATCCAAAAGACCCAGAGAATTTCAGTTTAATAGCAAAAACACTTGGTAATGCTGTTGTAAGTAACGTGGAATTTAGGGCTCCAATTTTGGATGGAATATGTGAACTGATTGCTAGCCCAGAGGAAGTTAATAAGGAGCTAGCTAAATTTGCCAAAAATTTTCTCCCGAGATTATTTAATGTTTACAGTGCTAAACCATCTGGCTCATATGAAGCTGATTTAAGGAAAAAAACATTAGAAACAATAAAACAATTTTTAACTATTACTAACGTTACAATTTTAGAAGAACTATTTCAAACTGCTTTCAATCAATTTATCGGTCTTCAAGGTGGAGCTTTCGAAAGCGATTCGGTTTTAGATTTATTAGTTCTTCTTCTCATATATCAGAAAGAAGAAAATATAAAATTATTTTATGATGATATTATAGTACCTATTATGAAGAATGAAAAGAAAAAGTTTATACCTAAAGATGAACAAAAATTTAAATATCAACAAAGAAAATCTTATGAAATGCTCAAAAATATTTTAGCAGAAGAACGAAAAAATTGCAAAGATTTCGTAAAACATAATTCAACAACTATTCAAAAATTACTTTTGGACACGTTGACAACAAGTTGTTTGATTTGCCAGGCTTCTAGGCTTAAGTGTTTAAAGTTGTTAATTGAAACTCGAAAAAGTTTAAGCACAAATGATAAACTTATTGCCAAAACAATTCCTGAAGCAGTGGTTTCTTTTAGAGAATTTTCAACAAAACAGGAAAATATCTCTTATGAACTGATAAATCTTATAGGCGGGAAATTTAAGGAGGCAGATAAATTAAACTACTTTGTTGATATAATATTAGCTGGATTTGGTGGTGATCAAGCTCTTATATCTAATACTATTCTTGCATTACGTACTGTCATACACAGTTTTTCCGGCAATTTAACCATAAAAACCATTGAGTTTATTTTAGATCAAGTATTAGTTTTCTTGGTGCAAAAAAGCCGCTTACAAGCAGAATCAGGTATATCATTTTTGATAACATATATAAAAGTTTTGCAATCTCCTTTGATTGCAAATCATTTAGAGAAAATAATTAAATCATTGTCATCTATGGTACCGGATACAAAACGATATTGCCGTTTGCAACTCGGTTATTTATTACGAAAATTATGTAAAAAATTTACTGCTGATGAAATCATCAAACTAGTCCCAGGTGACGATGAACTTACACATCGAAGATTGAAAAAAATTAGAAAAACTTTAAGCAGAGAAAGTCGCCAAAAGTCACATGAAAAAGACACCGCAGAACAAGATTCGGAAGAAGAACCATTCGTAGAAGGACTTGAAAAGAGAGTTTTAACTATTGACGATATTTTAGCAGAAAGTGAAACAGATTCAATGGATGAGGATGCTGAAAACAAAAAAGGTAAATCGAGCAAAAAATCGAATAGAAACGAGACTTTCATTCAAGAAGATCCAGAGGAAATTGTTGACTTAGCAGATTTGAAATATATGGGTAACATTTTATCAAATGCTCCTAAGTTGAATGATAAAAACCAGAAAAAAGAGAAAAAGAAAGACAGTAATCGTGGTTTCAAGACTGCCGAAGATGGTCGCCTTATTATAACTGATAATCCGAGTGATTCAAATGAAAGTGATAGTGAAGATAACGATATGGAAATCGAAGGTGTTGATAAAGCTAAAGGTAAAAGCTTTATGCAAAATGATAGCAGCGATGAAGAGGAAACTATTACAAAATCAAATCGTAAACGAAAAGCAACTGAAAGTATGAAATCTGGTTATTCAAATTTAAGTAAATATACAGCTGGTGGTAAAGGTATACATAGAAAATTAGATTCATTATCAACTAAATCAGGTTATTCTCGTACATCTACAACAACAGCGAAATCAACAATAAGGCAGCCTAAAATTAAAAAATTAAAATCTGATACAAAGAATAAATCGAAACTAGATCCTTATACTTATATTCCACTAAGTCGAAATTTATTAAATAAAAGAAATAAAAAAAAACATTCAGGACAATTTAAAAGCATTGTAAAAGGTAGTCGCAAGACAATAATGAAAAAGAAAGTTAAAAGAATGAAATAAATAATATTTAAAAAAAAATTAAGTTTCAAACTTTTCTAAAAACAAAAAAATACTGATATACATATTATTGTTAAAAATAAAATGAATCTTTCGAAAATAACTTTTTTTTTTTGTTTTATAATTCCTATAAAATGCTATTATACAATAATTACTGTAGCTGCGAAATGTAGTTGCAGTATGTTTTAAATTTCAGTATAGTAGAGTTAATACTGTGTAAAGATTTAAAGATTTTACAGACCATGAGTACAATACTATAAATTCTAATGCTATAAATTCGATACATATTCGATAGAGATAAATTTCTTAATTTAAAAAGAAGGAATTTTGTTTACATATCGGGACTATCGTGCATTTTAAAACTTGAAAATGTCTCAAGAAATTCCGGAAAAATCGGTTTATACACATTTTCTTTTTGTCTTAGACTTTAGGGACCCTGATGTACAGATTTCAAATTTCATGTTATATAATTGGTCTTATAAAACATGACACGATTTATGGTTAATTTGGACTTGGATAAGCTTTTGATTTAAAAAATGAGTTTCCCAGAAATGGACAAGATATTGATGATAATAAAAAATCATGTCTGAAATTGAATTTTACAATTATTAAATAAAATTGATAAAAATATTTTGTTATATAATTTAAACATAATTTATTATTATATCATTAAAATAAACTATTGTGTACTTAAATTTCAAATAACTTTCATAAAGGACAATTCTACAACTAAAAACATATTTAAAGTATTTTACTTTTTTGTAATAAACAGATTATTTTCTGAATTTTCTTCAATGCTTAACCATTTTTTGTTTTTTTTTTATTTTTATTTATTTAAAAAGCTTATATTTAACATAATATTATTTTTTTTTTTAAATAATTAAATTTTATTTAAGTTCAATATAATTAATTCAATAATAAAATTTTCAATTTTAAAATTTTAAATTATTTTTCTTCATATTTTTTTAAATAAAGTCTAATTTGCATCAGTCGATATATTTGTTACAGATTTACAAGTCTCAATTAAAAGACCTCCATCTAAGGCTGGACTACTATTCGTATGATGTAATAAATTGTTGTCAGTATTTATAGTTAATGGATTATTACTAATTGGATTATGAGTTGGTGATTGATTTGGGGTTGTATTTGTGCTTTTTGATTTACGGAACCAACTTCCAATTTTACGTCTTCCTAATGAACCATTTTGATTATTATTACTATGACTATTACTATTCATTGCAGTACTATTATTACTATATTGTTGATAATTCATACCAAATGTACTTGAAATACCATGTTTTTTAAATTTTTTTGATTTTTTTGGTAATGTTTCATAATATTTTTCGATCATAATCTGTTGATCATTATTACCACCATTACCGCCACCACTACCATTATTAAATATATTCTGTTTCCAATTTAATGAACTTAAATTTGTTTCAGAATTATGTGTTGGTGTATCATAATCACTATGATATTCACGATCAGATAAATTATCATCTTCATTAGGATCATTGCCGCCAACAAGCTCAGAAACAAATAAATTTGTACCACAAAATTGTCTTTCAATTGCTAATGTACTTAAAAAACGTAGTTTTCTACTTGAACTACGAAAACAAAAATCAAACCATTTATTTAATGTTTCACAATATATTCGTAAAGCATTTTTTAATGATACACCAAATATTTTACCATCTGGTAAATTTAATATACGACAACTATCTAAGAATATTCTTCCTTTATACATATAATGATTACGTTTAAGAATATCCTTTTTACAATAAATCAATTGATGATCAAATAAAAATAATGTATATGTATTATTCCATAAATTTGGTGAAATTCTAGTGGCATCGGTTTGCATAAAAAATCTTGTACTATGACAAGCAATCGGTGGTCCTTGAAAATTTTCGAAACTTGATTGAAAACGATTCAAATTCTCACTATGTCGTTTACCTAAAATGATAACAAAATAAAAATATTTAATTTATTGTTGAAAATGTTTGTATTTTAAGAGCTTATATTTTTAAAGTTAGTAAACAAAATTGAAAAATAATAATTTTAATAAAATAAGAGAAATGTAGAACTTTAAGTGCATATCTGAATTATGTAAAATCAGCATTTGCAAAATTCTAAATTTTAATTTACGGTATAGTTCCTAAACTTATTCTAAAAAAAATTTTGAAGAAACTTGTTTCTTAACCAGCATATTCAGTTTTTACAATCGAATGAAACAGATTAATGGTCTTCATGTAAAAGTACAAATTCGTCTAAGTCTCTAAAATATAGTCGACTTAAATCCTAAACCAGAGTCCATGATTTAAATATTTTCTCGTACATAGATAATAGATCTATTCACGAGCATCATTATAAATTAAAAGCTCGTGCTTTTGTCTATTTCAACAATTCGGCAGACATTTTTTTTTCGAAATACATACCAGCAAATGTTTCTCAAAAGTAACGATTAAACATTTATTTAAACACCGTTTGACATTGCAATTATCTGGTAATTTTTTAATTTGCAATTTAAATTTTTGCACTAGCTCGTACACGTAAGAATTATTTTTTTGATTTTATTTTAAACCAACACACACAATTGCAATTTGGAATAGTCAATTTTGTCAATAATTAATTTTTCCCTTTTAAATCAAAGATATATGAGGTATACATGCATACATACAATAATAAAGATAGGAATTTGAAATTGTTGCCTACTTTCAGGATAGCAGAAAAATCACGCTACATACATAAGAATGAATAAAAAATTGGAACAATATTTTGAATTTATTATAATCTAATATTCATTTTTGGCTATTCTCTTCCAAATATTTTAGAAATAAAGATAGAAAAGAGATTGGATATCGACCAAAAATTCAATTTGGTTAAGTCAATAATAAAATTTATTAAAAATCGCTGCATATCTAGTCAAATTTATATTGGGCCAACTTTTTAATAGACGCTTATTGTCAGTATGGAAAAGTCCCTTAGGGATATCTCCGGTTTTGTGGTTGGGACGGGGACATTATAGATGGGAGCGTGGGGAGGCTACAATAAGTCAAGAATGGCTGTGGTAGCTTTGGGGATTACTCCTGTCCCACTCGGTTCCCTTGAAATCTAAAATCTATCTACAATCTACAGTATGGAAAAGAATAATAGTTAATTTGAGTTGTTGAATTTAAAATATTGTTAATTTTTAGAAACCTGTCAGATCGATAATTTAAATTTGGAAGCCATTCTTTGCAAATGTTTGGTATTTATTAAAAATTATAATTGTTGCAGAACACCTCATATTTATTGTTGTTCCCATATTTATATTATAAACTATTTAAAGTTATTGTTTTGAAAATATTAAAAATATTATTTTTCATATATATCCATGAAACTCATGGGAGCGGGGGGGTTCGCAATAGATTTTTATACGTGGTCGCGGTGCACTGTTACCCCCGATGTACAAGTCTACAATCTACAAAATGAATTGTTTTGAAACTTAATTGAAATGGTTAAACTTTAAAAATTTTATTCAATCATTAGTTGTATGGACTAATAGTTAACCAAATAAATTGCCTAAAATAGGTAAAAGCTCTTATAAAATAGTGGTAGATTTAGTGTTAGAAATAGGAATTAGTAGATTTTGTGAAGGAGTTAATCAGTAATTTTAATATTAGTAAACTAAATTAGAGTATGTAATTTTTGTTCGTTAATTTGTATTAATAATAAGTATTTAGTATTCAAATTACTGGTTCAATAGAATTAATTAATGAAATAAATTCAATAACAAAAAAAAAAACCCAAAAGAAATATACGTTCAGCATGCACATATATTTAAAATTTAGGAAAAAATATAAAATATTATAAAATTTTAATATTAAGTACTACAATTTATGTTTTATATTAAAATAATAAAAAATACAATTTAATAACAATTTAATCCCAAAATTAAAATAAAACAATATAATATTATTTTTATTAAAATATATTTTTAAAATTATTACTTAATGTTAAAATAATATTAGTTTTTATTTGTATAAATTATAATTAATATTATAATATTTTAAATGCATCTACATAATTTTAAATGTCTATGATATTTTAAATTTAAATTACCTTCATTAACATTTTCTGTAACTTTTTTCATAACATTAAGGGCAGCTTCAAAATTTTCTTTATTATCACAATAATTTCCACATACAATTGTTGATTGACCAGAATTATATAATTGACTTTGAATTATTCCTGTATTTACATTTGTATTTTTATCATTTTTATTTAATTTTTCATTATTAATATCAATATCTCCTCCTTTGGATGGATAATGTTTGACTATTTCAGTTAAATGTAAAGGATAACGACATATCCTTTGAATTGGTGCTAATAAATGAGCAGATAATGGTAAATGAGATAAATTTTGAGCAACTCGAATGCTAAAACAAAACAAAAAAAAAAATTAGTTTAAATCCTAGATTTAATAATATTAAATTCAAAATTACTTTTCAAATATACATTTTGCTTCCTTACTACTAGAATATGTTTCTAATTCCATTAATGCACGTGGATATGAATTACAGTATGTTGAATAAACTGAAAATCCATTTTGCTGTTACAAAAAAAAAATATATATATATATATATTATTTTATTATTTAATAATTTATTTATTTAAAATAATAAAACTTACATAATTAATAAAAGTTTGGGCGATACTATCCTTTTCAACGCCTTTTTTTAATGCTTCTAGAAATGTTTTCTGAAATTCCCAAACAACTTCAATATTAGAGAAAATTATTTTTAAACTATCCGGTGAGAATATATCTATTCTCTTTCGCATTTCTTTCAAATATCTAAAATAAATAATATATAATAAAATATATTTATTTAATATTAAAAAAATTAAAATTAATTGATGGCTTATTTTAAAAATGACCTAAGTATATTAAAAATCCAAAAATTCTCTATTTCCAAAGCAATAGTAATGACAATAATTGGAATTGCAACTTGAATATTGTTAGATAGAAAAATAAATATACTACAATATTAACAAAATTTTCGGGTTACTTTAAACCCGAACGCATTAATATTTCATTTTGATTTGAAAATGGACTTAGATCATTTTCACGGATTCCTTTATTTAATTTCTTCTTACCCTAAACAAAGTGTTGACAATAAATTAACATAATTTATTTCAGTTTCCAATAATTCTTTAATAGCATTTTGTCTTAAATTCTCATTTATATTCGAGACTAAATTTTTATGTTGTATATTAAATGGATTAATAGTACATGATGATGATGATGTTGATTCCATATTTATTTTATTTGTTTCATTTTGAATTATTTGTTCATTATTAATAAAATTGTTGCCCTCTAATAATGTAATTGATTGTTGACTAGATGATGAATTTGATATAATAGAATTTTGTTGATCTTGGTGTTGTTGTTGTTGTTGCTGATGTTGTTGTGATGATGATGATATTGATGATAATGATGATGTTTGTTCAATATTTAATTGGTCTCTTATAAATTTTTCATTATCATTACAATTATTTTGAGATAATTCTTGAAATGTTGAATTTATTTGGCTTGAAGATATATTTGAATTTGTAATAGTAGTAGTATTAGTAGTTGTAATAGTGGAATCTGATGAATTTTTATCCTCTGAATTTATATTATTATCACAGCAATTAATAACCGATGTATTATTATATTCAACAACTGATGTTAAAGATGTTTTATGATTTAATTGATTTTGACTAAAATCATTTTCAGTTTCTGATGTTTGCATAAATGGATTTAAAAGACGTACAAAATCTTTTGGAAACCAACCTTGTTGTGGTTCTAAAATTTTTTCAATAATTTCATCATGTTTTATTTTACCATACCACCATGGACCATCATCTTGACGTATTATTTCTACTAATGCACCTGGTTCAAGTGCTAACTCTTGTGGTCCAGCTGGTGTAAATTGATTAAGAACTTCAGCAAATAATGGCCGTTTATCTGTTTAATATATAAATAGAAAAATATTATTGAAAATTAAAAAATTATTTTAATTTTTTTTTTTTTAAAAATTACCATCTGGATGGGATGAAATACTATCAGTATCACTATCATCTGCATATTTAGTCATTTGATCTAAACCTGGATGACTTAATGATCTTTTTGGTTTTGGTGATGTTTTATGTGAACCATTTTCGGAATTTTGAACTTTTTTAAGTGCTTTTGATTTTGCTGATGCTGAACCAGATTGTGGATTATTGTAATACATATTATTACGTTTATTTGGTGTACGAAAACTTTCAGATGAAAGAATTACATTACAATTACCATTAGATAAATTTGATGTTATAGTTGTTGATCGAGCTGAATTACTTCTTCTAACACTTATATTTGGTATAGAATTTGTATCAATTTCCTAAAATTAAAAAATTTTCATTAATAAAATTTTATTATTAATATTAAAAAAAAAAAAAAAATTCTTACAAAATCTTCATCATCACCAATATTTCCAATGAAATTTTCATCATTTTCAGCTTCAATTTGTATACCAGAATCACCAGAATTACATTTATCTCTACGATTAAATTTAGTTTTACGACGTTCTTGACTATTACGCCAAATTGATGCACCAAAACGATTTTTAAAACTACCGTTACTGCTATTACTACTATTACCACCGTTATTTATATTTGTATTTAATTCTGTTGTCAATTGATTTGAATTATTTAATAAATTTGTTGTGGTACCTTGTGTTGCGGTTATTATTGTTGGTATTATATTAATTTTATCTTCTAATAAATTTTTTTGCGTAAAATTTTTTCCAATTATATTATTATCATTATTATATTTATTATTAATATTTTTATTATCATTTATTGTTGTTGCTGTTGTAACTGTTCCAGATGTTGATGTATGGATGGATGTTGGTGGACATTGTTTAAAATGTTCAAATGTTTTACGAAATTTATAAAAAACACCATTTTGATTATTACCATTTACACTAATTGTTGTTGTATAAGGACTAACATCAGATTTCTTTGCATTTGTATTTTCTAAGGAGGATTCATTTAAGGATGGACTGGATATGGCACGATATCGATTTAACTGGAAGGAGAAAAGAAAAGAAAAAAAATTAATTAAAAATTTTCTCTAATAAAATTAATAATTTTAAAATTTAATAATTATGATACCAATATATTTTCAATAGGGGGAAAATCGGGTAATTTTACAGTACATATATTACTCGTAATTATTAAAATTATCTTTGTCAGTGCTGAAATCATTTAGAAACAGCCTCAAAATTAGAAATTAATTTTTTTTTTTAATTTAATAAGTATAATAAATAATTAATATATAAAAATCTCGAGTCCCGCCCCTCCTCTAGTATATCTTACGTCCCACCACCCTCTCCTAATATAGTCAAATACTCGATCAATAAAATATTCTATTTCAATGAACATGAATGTGAATTCACATTGTACACGTGTACTAGAATGTTTATTTTCGCATTGCACACTCTTTTTACAAGAAATTCGATTCTATGTGGGCGATAGTAGTAAACACTAAAACTAATCTAATATAAAATTCGATTATTAAATAAAATCACTACTAGACCCACACTAAAAATGAATTAAATTTTATAATTTAAAATAAAATTAAAATTTTTCAATATTATTATAAAAATTAGCATAAAATTTTTATATTAAATACAATATTGATCTAGTTGCTATCACAAGTTAATTATCGATAAATTTTATCGAAAAAAAAGAACTTATAAAGTTTTTTTATAACCCTTAAAGATAACCCTTAAATTTACATCATTTTAATGTTGTAATAATAAGGTCCCCCCCATTCCCCTTCCCCTTCCCCTTCCCCTTCCCCTTCCCCTACGCTCTTCTAATAAGCTATATATGAGCTGATATAATTATATGGTCTAATTTTTATTTACATTTGAATTTAATGATTTTTTAAAGCGAGTTTCGTTTTTCTGTCAAATTTTTTTTAAATAAAATAAAATTGCAAACCTCATTGCAAATAAATCGAAATTTTCCATCGATTGAATCGGATTTTTCTTTCATTATTTTTAATAATACAAAAAACAACAATTTTCTTAATTTTAAATATTTTTTTTTTTTTTTAAATTTACAATACGATTTTGAAAAAATAAATTTTTGTGACCGATTGAAACGCTTATTAATAATTTACTAATGATTTTAAATTTTTTTCTTTCTTTTGTATTTAGTCATTCATTTAAAATATAATAAAAGTCAGTTTGGTTATCATTATTTATTATAAAAATTCTGTATAAATATTTTTTTTTATAAATGTACTTAATAAAAATACAGGGTGTTTTTTTCGGTTTGTTTATTTGAGATTTTATTTTTCATATTTCATACGTCAATTTTCTTCAATTTCACGCGTTTGACATTGACAATCTCCATGTTATGTGATTGTCAATGTCAAGTTGACTCAGTTTAGGTTGTAATTTTTAAATAGATATACTGATTTCCCAAAAGTGCTACTGAATTATAATTTTAATAAATTTAAAGAATATACATTCAATGAGCAATTAAATTTCATGTTTTGATCTGTTTTAATTAATCGCCTATATTACTTGATCTGACAGCTCTTAATTATTTTTCTATTTTGAATTGGATTCGTTTGATCTCCTCTTTGTACTGACCATTAAATTTCAATGGTATGCTTTGGAAAATAATTTTAAGCCTATAATTAGTGATATATTTATTCATTTGTTAAAAATAAAACGTTTTTCTAAGACGTATACGCTGCCAACGTTAATATGAAATTATATTTGAAAAATAAATGTCAAAATATTGATTTATATTTGATATTTACATTAAAATTTTATAATTTAGTTCTTTGAATTAGAAAAAAATCAAATTCTTAAAAATAAAACACCCATCACAGTTATTAAGAATACTGAAAAAATTTTAATCAATTTGTATATATACGTATATACTTATCAAAGAACAAAAAAATGTGAAGTGTAACTAAACGACTAGTTCAATTCATAATCAATAAATTGTATACGTATAATACTAGTTTGCAGATTATAAAAATCGCCTGATAAGAGATAACCGTATTCACATATTAAAATTTTGAAATAAAAAATTCTTTATTATATACAACCTTGGGAATTTTATATTTATTTACTTTTATATTATTTAATATTATAATTATAATAAAAATGTAATATTATCGATTAACAAAATTTAGGCTGTCTGTCATATTTAATTTTAATATTAAGCATATAAGAGGAAGAAAATGATTTCTTTATTACATAATACGATATTGTCACTCTGCTTTTAATTAAGTATGTATTTATTACAATTTTGCTCTACATCAGGAATTTCCATGCCAGCAGAAGCAAAAATAAAGAGTAGAGCAATTGGGCTTATTTTGAATATCGAATGATTGAGTGATAGCAATATTTATCGTAAAAATTTTAAAAACTTTATCAAGGACACGAATCATTTGTATGAATTAGTTTGTTTTTACAATAATAATATCGAATTTTTTACGATAATTTTATTACTACACTTAGTAATTCGATATTTAGAATAACCCTTAATATTATAATTATTATATTCTTCTCAATAATAATTTTAATATTAAAAATGTATAAGTTTATAAGATCATAAATTGCAATAATGCATAGGAATATCTGCAGAAACGTAATACTGCACAAACATAATAATAATGATATACAAAACAGTTAACATGATTTAACTGCGCTACTAATACTGACTTCGCTATACTGTTAAAAAATTTGCCATGTTTATGAACAGATTAGTAAGCAATCTGTATTTACGTATTAGCGTAGTTTTCATTATATATTGCGATATACTGCGTTTATGAAAAGGCCTATTGTTAGCGTTTATGAAAACTCTACATAAAGTTAGAATATATTTGAATAACTTTTGTTTAGTAAGTAAGATTTAATACGATTGTATAAAATTTTATGTTATACAGTTAATTTGAAAGATCTACCTGATATTGCATATATTAAATGTATACTGCAATATTAGGACCTTAAGATATAATATGAATATAAAACGATATTACTGTATTAAACATTTAAGATATCACTGTATTGAACAGTGATTTGAAAATTTAAACAATAGCATTCATAAATAAAATTTCCAACATATTTATATATTAAAAATTTATATAAAATATTTTAACAAATTATTAAAAAATAGCTGAAAGTATGAAATTATTTTTAAAAATTATGACAATTTGAATTGAGGTTTTTAAGAAAACTTTTATTTAAATTTAAAATTTGCATAAATTTTTCCTATGAATTTGTTGATTATTTACATCGATTATCAAAAACATACACATACATACGGACCAAATGAATGTATATATATGTATAAAAACGTACAAGTATTTGAATTAGAAATAAAAAGAAAAAATAATGTCAATAATCTAAATCGGGTCATAATAAAACTTTTGCAGATATAAAGTCAAGTTAACGTAAATTTTTTTTGAAAATTTTAATATACGCACATACATATTAGATATAAATGAGTTGGGAATCCCATAAAAAATTAAACCAAATTCCAAAAAATGACTTATTTTTTGCTTCTATTTTTCAAAATGAGGAGTCGCACTTGCACAGAGTGTATGATAATTATAAACTAAAAATAATGTAAGAAAAATGTAATTCGACTATTTTGACTGTTCTTAGTTTACGCCACTTAGTTATATATCTACATATATTTTTCTTTCTTCCTTCTTTACTCTTCGACGATAGTAAAAAAGGAAGGGTACAAAGCTTCACCATGGCAATTTGTTTTGGAACATATTTTTGATTCTTACCGATTTTTACCGACTTTTTTACCGATTAGCAACTTTTTTACCGATTTAAGTACGTTTAACCAACTTCCTTACTGATTGTTTTTCGTCATGAATTTTTAGGAAACCCGAAACTTTTTCTTTCTTAAGGGTCTCTTAATTTCTTAAGGTTTTTGGCAATTATTTTAAGCGGATACCTCAAGATATGCCAAATCCAACTCCATAGTTCATGATTTGTAAGAATGCGTTCGGAATAATCATTCATAAATAAGAAAAAAATCGGGAACAAACACAACGTTCCTAGTATTCTGAATGAATGAAAAAATGCAGCTTAATGTATTCACAATATTTTGAATAGTCATGGTGAATAAACGAAAACGCCCTATACGGGTCTACTTATAAATCATTAAGGTATACATTGTATTTCTAAAGAAATTTTTGGATTTGTTTACACTTTAAACCATAAATTTTGTATTAAGATATATACTAGATGTATATCATGTATATACTAGATGTATATACTAATTAACTTGAGGTATAAGTTGAAAGTTATCAAATTTTTTGATTTTTTAACTTATGGTTACAAGTTTATTTTGACGGCAACATTCGCATAATCAATTCAAATTTATTTTGATTTCCTTAGAACTACTTAAATATATGTACAAATATGTTAATTTGAATTTGTTTATTTATTTTAGCAATTATAATTATTTTCCTACTTTAAAATTGAACTTGTAACCGTACATTAAATAATTTATATTATTCATTTTATTGATAACAATTTTAATTAAATCAAAATATTTTGTTCCGTTAGATTTTTCAACAATTATTGTTATTGTTAAGTATATATTAAAGTGAAGACATTTAAAATAATTCTAATGTCATTGATTAAAGGGGCTATTAAAGTAAAAAATGTGCGTAGATGTTCATATTATATACAAACATAATGTAATTAAGGAAATAACGTAACAACGTATGTATAACAGTACTTTTATTTGAAGTGAATAATTTATATTGTCATTTTAATAGATTCAGATTTAATTGACAAAATCTAATTATTTTGTAATATGTAGTATATTTTAATTTAAGAAATTAGGATGCGGGTCTATAGCTAATTTTTGTTGAATAATCGATTAATAAATTAATATAGGAATATTAAAATGTTTTGGTATTAAAAGAGGGAGTGATTTAAAACAGTTAACGCTAATGTATACATAGGTAAGATTAAAGAATTTTAAAGAGAAAATAATTAACATTACAAATTATAGAAACCCTTAGAAGAAGGATTAGATAATAATTTAGAGAATGAATAAAGTACACTAGTCAAATATGAGTAACAAATGAAAAATTATTTTGGGATTCTAACTTTTTTTTAAGAAGTTTAGGGTAGTTTTATTTAAAAATCTAATTTTTTTGCAAAACTTTTGAAATTGAATAACAAAAATGTGAAGCATATGTAAGCTTAAATGTGTATGTATATAAGTATGTATGTATACAGGGTGATTCAAAAACAAGTTAGGAGCCGTATACCACCGGGTATAGGGTCGAAAATGAGTAAAATTTTTCTTCGGAACATAGCGTCGAATCGAAACTGTTTCTTAGCTACAAAAATTTTAAGAAAATTTGGCGACTTTTTAACATATTTAAGTTTTTTTTTTTTGCTTATAACTTCCATTTTTATACGACAACTATTATTCCCATGCGAAAGCATATGAACATTTCCGTGTGAACGTATTATAAATTCACCAAATTGGATAAAAAATTTGTAGGGGTATCACAGAGTTGACATGATCTATTTCGCCTCGTTTTTGTTTTAGATTTGATGCAATTGACAATACTATTAGTTTACTTTCATGTGATCATTTTGTGCATGTTTCAGTATTATAATACCACAATGCTATAGGGTGTCACAATCTATAAAACGTTGAGTATTACTGAAATAAATCCTCAATAAATTATTTATTCAATTATTTTTATTTTGATTGATAATTAATAATATTAAAAAAAATTGCTTTAGGCGTTGATTATAAAAAATTTTTACGATTGATAATTTAAAATCCTTTTGCAATCCAAATCGTTTCCAGTGTATTATTTAAAATAAATATCATAAACTTAATTGAAAGTGGAAATTTTTGCTTTCATAAAAAAATTTAATTGTTATATTTACCCACCACCACTATTTGTTATAAGTATCCACTTGTGTCAACTAAAATTTATGGTATTTATTTCGCGTATACAGAGTAACATTTTGAATTGTCATACAATATATAGAATAATATGATAATAGACAAGCGAATTATATCTACATATGCACATATTTTAGTAACATAAAAATT